TTTATATATTATATATATTATATAATATATATATTATATAAAACATATCATATATAATAAAAAAATAAGTTAAATATATATATTTATAATTTAGTATTATATTTAAGTTAATTTTAATATGGTATTTATTGATTTGATAAATTTAAATGTTGTATCTAAACAAATATTTATGGTTTAGATAGACTTCAAAAAATTAAATTCTGAATTCTATGTTAATTAAACGCTTTTTATTTCATTTGATAAGTTAAGTAAAGTTACAAAAGATATCAATTTTTAAACTGAAAATTCTAGCAATCCAAAAATTAATAATGAAATTCTAATTAAATTCTAATTAATTCATAATTAAAATTTGATTTATTTTTTAATTCTATTATAAACAATATAATAAAAATATCATGCAATTCTAATTATTCTTTCATTATAGTGTAGTCTAGTGACATTTCTTCTATGAGCAATAAATTTTCTAAAAAATTTAATAGTTAGAATAAATATTTTATATGTCATATAAAAAAAAATCATAAAATTTAAGAATCATTGTTCTATAGTATTAAAGTCTTGAAATTTATTTTTAATATTTTCTGGTAAAAAAGTTGAAATTAAAATTTGAACATCTATAATTAAAAATTTTTTTTTCTTTCTCTGTATTTTCATAAAATTTTCATAAAATAGAACATAATTAATAGAATACAATTCATATTATCGACGTATTTTGATGAACAGAAATATTCTATAAATATTCTATATATTGTTTAAAATATTTTTTGTTAGACGGATACACGGTGTTGGACGTGGTAATGTATTGGAAAGAGACTCCAGTCCGTGGTGTCGAAGAAGCGGAACTGCCACAATTCACGATAATCGGTTACGAAACGAATGATCGTAAAGAGAAGCTGGCCACTGGCATATACCAGAGATTATCATTGAGCTTCAAACTTCAAAGGAATATCGGATACTTCGTTTTCCAGACTTATTTACCTAGCATCTTGATCGTCATGTTAAGTTGGGTTAGTTTTTGGATAAATCACGAAGCAACCAGCGCCAGAGTAGCACTCGGTAAAGATGTGTTTTATTATCTATTACAATTATTTTATTATCTATTATATTATTATACGTGTTTAATTAGATCTCTTTAATTCAATGTATTCATATTAAACCATGTATATCTATGACTTAAATAATTGTGATATTTCATTTAACGAAATACGAAGGGAATAGTATAATAAAAATATGGAACATCTTTGAAGGGAGATTCTATTCTTCACATGAAAACGATAAAAAAAAATTCAGAATATACCAGGATAAAAGTTAAATAAATAAAATAATAATAAATAAATAAAATAAATAAAATTTATTTTTATGATTGATTATTAATTATTAAATATAAAAAAATTTATAATTTAAAGTAAGATGATTGTACAAATATAAATTGTACAAATGCAAATTAACATGATGTAACATAATTGAAAATCAAAAACAGATTGATTTAGGAATTCAAATTCAAAGAGTGATAAAAATATATAGGTCATAAAAATATATAAGAGTGATAAAAATATATAGTGATAAAAATATATATAATATATTTTGATTTGACTATCAAAGTTTGGCAAATTTTCAAATATATAAAGAAATGCATATATAAAAAAGTATTGATGATTTCATTACATCGAAATCGTCTTTCTTTGTCAGAGAATTCAGAAATAAATAGAAAATCATAAAATTAAAAATCGCTAATATTTCACAATATGTTATATTGTACCATTTTTAAACAAACAATATCTTTATTTTAAAAAGAATTAAATTTTAAATTAATAATTATTAGATATCGATCTATATGCAATTATATATAATATTTATTAATGTGAATCACAATTAATAAGACAATATTTAAACATATTTTTTAAAATTTTTTCCTTTATGTATATAATAAATTGTAATAAATTAAAATTGAATAATAAGTGTATGTAATTCATTGAATTATTGTATGATTTTTTTCTCTTTGTAGGTATAACAACAGTCCTTACAATGACCACAATTTCAACAGGTGTCCGTAGCTCACTGCCACGTATCAGCTACGTGAAAGCTATCGACATTTACTTAGTAATGTGTTTTGTTTTTGTGTTCGCCGCTCTGTTGGAATATGCAGCGGTCAATTATACTTATTGGGGTGCCAGAGCTAAAAAGAAGTCAAAAAAAAAAGAATCTGATGATAAAAAAATGATTTCGAAATCCGGTAAGATTTTTTTTTTATCAAATGGAATAATAATTTAATGAATTGAGAATTATTGTAGATATATATAAAATATCTAAATTAAATATTGGAAATTATTTGTAAAAATCTATACTTAAAAAAGAAAAAATCAAAAAAATATTTTAGCTAATTCAATGTCTTTCGTATATATATAACAAGTATTTATTAAAATGCTACAATCAAGTAATATACAAATAATTTCCATTTTAAGAAATAATAACTGAATTACTATTATAAAATATAAATAATCATTTGCGTTTGCATTTTAAAGATATAAGAATTCTGATAATTGTTGATATTATTCAAATTTTCTATATATAAAATAAAAGTTTTTCATGTATGTATATATATATAAAGATATTTCAACTATCCAAAAAAAGTATTATATATTTTATCTAGGGACAAATTTTTGAAGAAATCTAATAATTCTAAAAAATTTTAATTTCACGAATAATAGTTTTGTTTTTGTCATAACAAATAATCTATTTATTCATCTTGTTATGAAAAAAATCACATTTGAACATTTATAATGAAAATATATTGATTTTATTTAGTAGACAATTTTCCAAATATATTCTTTTTCTCAGTAGATAAAGATGATAACATGTTTCATGATGTTTTATTTCATAATATAATCATAATATAAAATGTATTTTTCTTCGCGGAACAAAACATTATATTTTGAATTATATAATATCGAAAACGAATTTATATTTTTTTTAAAATAATTGAAACAATGCACGTTAATATGTACAAAAGATTAAAAAAAAGAAAACAAAAAGTGTAAGGAAAAAAATTTTGTAGGAAGCAAAGCAAATTCTCCTTTTCCTGGTTCAACGGAAGCAGATATAATAGAGCTTCAAGATCTCAGGATGTCTCCCTTACCAAGTATAAGAAACAGATCAGGTCTGGTTAGTGGCAGTTCGACGCCTGGAACTGGAAGAGAACATGATCCGGCCAAGTTTCCTCCTAGCTTTCGAATTTCCAGAGTCGCGGCTTATAATACTTATGGGAGAAACGCTGGTCTCAGATACAGAGGACCTAAACAAAATAAGCCTAAGGTAAAATTCAATTTTCTTTCCAATATTTTTTTTTTTGTTTCATAAACGTTAAATATCATTTGGTTTTTGTATTTCCATATTTCATTTTTAATAATTTCTTATTAGAATATTCGTTATAAATGTAAGACGTTTTAAAATATAGCATAAAAATTTTATTTATTATTTAATTTTATAAAATAAGTAAATTTAATAAAATAACAAAAAAATAAATTTATAAATTATTTTATTGTTTTTTTATAAAATTGTATTGCAATAAGAAATATTTTTTTATATTATTTAATATATCAAAGTTATTCAATATGATTTTTAATCTAGATAATTGTAATAAATAATTCTTATCTCATAGATAAATTTTTTGTAAAAATATACGATTTATTAGTAAAATAATAAGAGGTATGTGTCCACAAAAAGATAATAAGAAGTATATGTCCACTAAAATCATAAAAAAATTTAATTCAATTTTAAAAATAAAATAAAATTTTCTTTGTAAACAATTTTTTTTTTAATTAAATAAATTTTAAAGTCACAACAACTATGCATATATATTTAATTAATTATTATTCTAATAGTGATATAGATTATGCGATTATTACACAATATTTACATAATACATTTTAGAAAAAGTATTAGAAAAAAACTTAAGATATGTAATTTACATTGAAATTATTGTGTAATATTTAATTTAAACTTTAATTAATATGAACTTTTGAAGTTAATAGAAATTAATAGAAAATTTAAGGAAGCGTTTAAAGTAATATAAATATGATCAAGAAAAAAAATATTCATTCTTTTTTTTTAGAAAGAATAAAAAAAACAGATTTCACTTATATTTTGCTTAATATTAAAATAAATAAAAAATATTCATTTGATTTAAATGTATCTTAAAAACTGTTTTTATTAAAATAAAAAAAATTAAAAATAAAAAAATTGCATTTAAGATTTTTTTTTTATTCACAATTAAAAATCGACGAAAATATCCCTGAAGCTCTGCAAACATTTTTACATCATCAAATGTAAGATAATATAAGCAATGGAGACTTTAATGATTCTCCATATTTTTTCTATAATTTATATTAATTAAGTTCATCATATGTCAAAAATCATTCTCTTTCTAGTTACTCAATTTGTTTTGCACTCTTATATAAGAAAATTTAGTAGATATTAAAAATTTTTGATCGATTTTATCATCAATAACTAAAAAATGAAGCTTTAAACATAATATTTTTATTTTTTATTCATATTTTTATTTTATTTTGATTTGTAAAATTAAATTTTCATCATTTATCAACTTCGTTTAAATAATTTGTGTATTCAAGAATATGAATATATTCAAAGATATGAATATATTTTATGTCGCTTAAGATATTTCAAGAAATTGTTTACTATAATATTTGTAACAAATATGAATTTTAATATTTATTTTTATTATTATTTTTATTTTTATTTTAATATCTAATATTAAATATCTAATTTAAAATAAAAAACTATTTTGTTTCGATCAATTTGATTATGTTACCTTTTAAATAAATTAAACAAAAAATATAAATAAAAATTAAATAAAAATATGTAGAATAAAGATACATTTTTAAAAAAAAAAAAATATTATGATTACAGGTATTACATGCAATACGAAGAGGAGCATCTATATTGCGTGTATCAATGCCTAAGATAAAAGATGTGAATATTATCGACAAATATTCAAGGATTATATTTCCAGTCAGTTTTATGCTATTCAACGCCATCTATTGGGTATTTTATGTCCTCTGAATCTCTAATCATTAAAGCAATCTGCCGTACGACGAAAGATAAAAAAGGACCAATTGATAATCGAGAATTAAGAATTTCAATAAAAAAAAATCGATTTTATTTGAACACAAACTAAATCAAATTTCGAAACTATATTTCGAATAAAATTATTCGTCAGAATTTAAATCGAAATTTGAAAAATTGAAATTCTCGATCGAAGGGAGCAGGCATCGAAAGTACTGAATCGAAAGCTGCCAATATTTATCGACGAGAAAATAATTTCAAGATATATCGATTTAATCTTGAATGATATTAATGATATTTTAAGGGATACGTTCCTATTCGATATTTCACCAATTCGAATAGATAGATAGTGTACAATGTGCAAAAATTTATTATATAAAAATTCCTAAAATAGTATCAACATGTATATTCATTAAAAAAGTTTTTTTTATATATATCATTTATTAAAAAATAATTAATAATTCATTAAAACCCGATTAAGATTGCAATGAAAATCAGTTAAAACTATTTTTCGAAAGTAAACAAATCATCAATTTTCATAATTGTTGTTGGTATCAATATATTTTCAATCAAATTGAAAAAAATTATTAAAAGAAAGATCATTGAAAAAAAGATTTTAAATTTTAGAAACATATATCATTAATTAGAATAGTTTTTGATTAAAACTTCTATCATTAAAGTAGCTAAAAATAATATCACCGTTATATTTCCATATGAATTATCTTACAAATGGTGTTAAATACATATTGTCATACAGCGTGATATAGCATAATAAAGCTGTTTTCAAAATTTTTACTTTCAATAAAACATAAAATAAATAATTGCAACAATTATATATCTTTTTATTTAAATGTCAACATTTTTTAATATGTTATAAAAAAAAATTAATTAAAAAAATTAATTAATTAAATTAAACTTTTATAATGTATATATGTATGTATATGTGTATATCTACATTACAATGCAATATGTATATATACATCATTTAATTATTGCCAATTGTTTCACATAACAAGTAGATACATAAAATTTAATTCAATTTTTTTGTTTGTTCTAAAATGTATTTTACTAATTTAGAAAAATGAAGTTTTCTATTTTATCGACATGATGACTAAATTTGATTCCATATAAACTCTTATATAAATTATTACTTTTTGTTTTCTACTTATTCTCTACTTTTATAAATAATTAATTATAATTAATTAATTTATAAATAAAAAATTCTTTATTTTATAAATTCAATGATGCATACATTGCATATATATTTTTTAATATAAAGCAAGATATATTTCATAATTATAAATGGAAAATAAAAAAAAAAAGAATGGAATAAAAAAAGAATTTTCATCATTATTAATTCAAAATTTGATAAATTGTTTGAATGTTGATTTAAATAATAAGAAAAATAGAGAAAAAATAATAATCTATCAAGTGTAAGTACACGTATGTGAGAAAAGAAAAGCATTCTTTTTCTAGGAAATATTTTTCTGAGAGATTCAAAATGCGATCCGTACAGATTGCGATTATAACTTTAATTGTTTTAATATAAATCGTATCTATAATTTTAAAAGCAATTTAGCTTAACTTAAACAACTGTATTTGTTAAGTTTTCATTGTATGCATACGAGATGTGTATAAGTAATATATGTGAAAAGCCAGATCCACTGTTCATGCCATTTTATTTCGTCTTTCGATACATACATCGCAATTATATTACAAAGATGGCAGTTTTTAAAGCTTATAAGAAGAAATAAATAATCGAATGAGCCAAGTCGATCGTAGCTCGATCACGTTCGAGCTTCGAGACTTCGAGCAAGGATTTCTCCTTTTTTAATTATAAATCTACTTAAATAACGAAGAAAAAATATTATATAAAAGATATAATATAATTATTAAATTATTAAAAATAATACAAATTATTTGTTTACAATTATCGAATATGATTTTTGTACCTTTCGGCGTTTTTATCTTCCAACTATCGTACCGTTTTAATAACGAATCGCAAAACATAAATATATAAATAAATGATTGTCGATTTAAATTTTCATTCTGTAAAAAAAGAATTTCTTTTCTTCACACTCTTTTCACTTATATTGCTATGAATCGCTGAAATTTTTTTTCTGATTTAAAATCGTTTCGATATTTCGATGAATCCTAGCGATTTGCAGTTTCTTGCTTTTTGAAGGCTCTCCATCTTCTATATAAACGTTTCCGCTGACTTCCGGCCAATCGACCATCACAGGAGTCTGTCTTCTTCGATCTGCAAACAAAAATATGTAATATTTATATTTTTCGATTTGTATATTTACCGTTTTTATTTATCTATCATATTGTTTATTTTGCATTCTATTTCTAAAAATCAATTTATAATTGTTTCAATATAATAATCAAAATTTAATATTTGTTTCATATATTTAAAATAGATTTATTGTGAAATTATTTTCATAAATTTCTTCATATTATTTTTCCTTCTTTACTTATAGCTTTTTAAATTCTAAAAGAATTTTAGAAAAAATTTTTATATCTTGTTAAATTTTAAATATTAAGACAAATAATGTAAATTCTTTTTATTTGAAAAGGAATTAATAATTCTTTCAAATTTTATTGCTATTTATAATAATATATGTAGTATATATATATAAGTGTAT